AAAAAAAAGAAAAACTAGCCAATTACATGACATTATAATGCCACCATAAGAAACAGTAATGCTTAAGCAATTACTACACTTCCTATAATAAATTCCTTACCCAAATCCTTTCATTTATTTCATTAGAACATTTTCTTTGAAAGTTCTACCACATGCCAAGTCTTCTTGTTTGTTTGCTTTTGGGGGATTTTTTGATTCTCACTCTGTGGTCCTGGGTAGAGTGCTATGGCATCATTGCTCACAGCAACCTCAAACTTGGCTCAAGCAATATGCTTGCTTCAGCCTCCGAGTAACTGGAACTACAGGTGTCCACCACAATGCACAGCTTTCTCCATTTTCAGTAGAAACGGATCTTGCTCTTGCTCAGGCGAGATCTCAAACTCCTGAGTTCAAGCTAGGATTGAAAGCATGAGCTACTTAGCTAAAGACTAGAAGGTAATTCCATTAGTCCCTTTAGTCCCTTTTTGGTGCAGTTCTTCTCTCTTTACAACTTCCCAGAATGCTAGGATTACAGGCATGAGCTACTGAGCCAGGCCTACTATGTGCCATTTGGTATGCCTAATTTTACTTAAATCAAAATCTTGAATTAGTCTAAAAATAAGCATATGCAAACTACCACTAACAAAAAAGAATTGATAAGACAGGGTAGAACAGTGATCACAAACAGAGAAAAACAGGGCAGCGCCTGTGGCTCAGTGAGTAGGGTACCGGCCCCATATACCGAGAGTGGCAGATTCAAGCCCAGCCCTGGCCAAACTACAATTAAAAAATAGCTGGGTGTTGTGGCGGGTGTCTGTAGTCCCAGCTACTCGGAAGGCTGAGGCAAGAGAATCACCTAACCCCAAGAGCTGGAGGTTGCTGTGAGCTGTGACACCACAGCACTCTACCAAGGGTGATAAAGTGAGACTCTATCTCTTAAAAAAAAAGAGAGAGAGAGAAAATGACATGAGCCCTATGACTGCCCAGCTTACTGCTTCCTGCCTAGAGAACTTGTATGATGCAGAGGAGAGGGAACTTGAGCAGAGATTAGTGTTCTCTCTGAGTAGACAGAGTTGAAAATTCTGGGAAACCAAGACAACTAGAATGCATTGAGCAGAGGTCTTAGAGGAGAAAGTTGTAAAGAGAGAAGAACTGGCTCGGCGCCTATAGCTCAACCGGCTGAGGCGCCAGCCACGTACACCTAAGGTGGTGGGTTTGAATCCCCAGCCCGGACCCGCCA